GTCTTTAAGAAAGTAAATGATACATTGAAACTTAAATATTTGCAAATGGCAATAATAAGTGTTTACACATTAATTTTAAATGGTGTATTAATGAAGGTTCACCTGCATGGCACAGTCTGAACTGATAGGCACTCAAGCATTGCTTTTGTTCCCTGCTCTTTGAATGTACACCTTCAGTTCAAACATAATTTGTTCATACTTGTGATCAATGCAAGTTCTAAAAAAAAATGAAAAAAAAAAAAAATTCTGCCCTCCCCCAAACTATGAAAGAAAAAAGTTTTATATTGTTTGTGGTTTGTTGGGTTTTATTGGTAGAGCTGTTAATTTTGTGGCATCACATGAAAATGTGTGGCCATCTGCAGAGAAGGCAGAAGGAGCTGCAGCCTGTGAACACCTACATTAGTGAAATAGCTGTTTATCTTTTGTACCAAGCTGTTGTCTTCTAACCATTCATCAAATATGATGTTGCCTTTTCTGTTGACTTGGGCTTCTGCCCAAACTTCCTGTCTTGTACTACTGCTTGATTTCTCTCTACCTTTCTTTTAATGTCTTCAATTTTTGTTGACCTTCTGGCAAGACACTTCTCATTCTTACAACCTCTTACCCTCTTGTTCTTGCATTTTACTTTCTTTTGTGCCATCTGTCTACAAAAGCACATTTTTGTTTGTGGTATTTGACCTTTGAGTTTTGTTTCTGTGTTACTAAAGTTCCTGTGACATCTCAGCTTCACTTTTCCTTTCCCTGTGCATGAACCTTACACCTTTGAACACTGGCAGTTCCTTCTGGGGTACGTGCAGTTTTGTCAGAAATCCTGCTGCCTTTCCTGAGGCCCTTTGCTTCCCGTGTCAAGATGTGCAGTTTTACAGGCTGCTTTAGAAGTAAAGTCAGCATTTCATCTGATGTGCTGAAACCTAATACAGGGTCAGAATATGAGACGGGGGGGAGAGGAAAGCCAAAATGGTGTCATTTACAGTGTTTTTCAGGCCCCGGAGTGTGTAAATGGTACTGATAAAACTACCTTGGGTAATAGAGCATTCATTTGCATTATCTCGCAGTCCTTGTGAGATGTGAATTAGTTTGGAGAGGCCAGGGAAATACTGTAATGGTGATGGACCTGAATGCATCTTCCAAATAAAGCGTGTTCTTTGTATCTTGCTAACTTTCAATTCTATCTATTTATGACTATTTATTTTTCTCCCAGGTTGTAGGAGGCCTAGATATCCACAAAAAGATGGTTGTAGACGTGTGACTCTGTAGGGCACCACCCAACACTTTTGCTTTCTTCTCCATCTCTGAAGATCTGCTCAAGACGTCCAGCAATGCTCTCTGTGTATTTAAATGGAAGTATTTTTCTCTGTGAAGCCACATTTTCCAACATGAGCCTCATGAAGCCAACTAAGTGTTATTGAACTTTTATTCTCTCAATAACTCAGTGTAGCACTTTAAAGTCTGAAGGACAGCAAAGATGGAAAGAGCATATCAGTGTGGTGGAGAAAGGGAAGGGGTTGGCTTTTTAATTTATTTTTCTTCATCTTTTATAACAAGGAAATATCTATCTATATATATATATGTGTGTGTGTATTTATATATAGATATATATGTAGCTTTCTATATGTAGTAGCTAGGTGGGCTTTAATTTAATATACTTGATTCAGAAACAAAACTAGAGTACAAAGTGCCAAGCAGAATATTAACAGTTCAATATATGGACATACATCCTTACTTTTATTTCACACAGTTTTATATATATAGTAGAAGAATGTAAAATTTTAACTGGGTGTTAGGTCAAACTCTCTTCCTGTGACTGTTCAGATGTTTCTATATATTGACTGGCTGACAAAGCATTGCTTCTTATTAATTCACCTTAATTACTTTTTTTTTTTTGTAACACGGGAGACTAAGTTTATTTATACCTGTTAATATATTACCAGGGACTGTGTCTCTTTGCTCAATAACTTAGTACAGTTCTAGTTGATATGAGAATATAGCTCAATGCTACTGCCAAGAACTAGCCCCTCGTGCGCGTGTAGTGACTGCAGAACGCTTTGGCCGCTAGATTTTGTCACCTAGGAGTGAACTGGGAGCAGTTAGAGCCGTCCAGGTTCAGGCAGATCTGCTGCTCTGGATTCAGTTTAGATAGAGCTGCTCCAGGTGTTAGACACACTCATGATTTTCTCTTGTGCTTTGCTTAATGGAATTAGGATCGACGTAACTGCGCAGGACTCCCATTACTTATTTTTTACAGTACTTAGATGAGAAAACGTTCTTGCCATTTAAATCCTGTTGTTTCAACCATGATAGCTTCCCCTCTGCATTTAAAGAATACTACAGGTAGCATAAATAACTGGTAATATTTTATATATATATATGTATATAGGATTCATACAGGGGGAAAATCTTGTTAACCTATGCCATAGAGGAGGAAAACTTCACGCTATCTAAATTTATACCTCTTGCGGTTCTCCGGTCCTTTGCCTGGAGAATGTTGTTTTTCTTTTCTAGATTTGTCCATATCATGATTTGTAACAGATGGTAACTTGATATATTTGTGTGATATAAAAGTAGCGAGCCATGTTTTACAACTTTATATCATCCCTTCCCTTTTCTGCGATGGTACTATTGGCTGGAAGAAAAACATTTGCTAGGTTTTTTTTAGGACAGTACATCTTTCCTGTATAGTAGTTTTTCTATTAAAAGAAATTGTTTTGTAATTAGCAGTGGGAAGTGCAGGTTGTCTGAACCTACTTCAGTCGAGCACCTGTCTGCCATAGCTGTTCCTTCAACTGAGTGCTGCACATCATGGGCTCTGTCTGTGAGAGAGAAATCCAGGTGCTTGGTGTCCTTGCATGACATGAAGTTTTGCATGTAGATCGATTTGAAATGTTCCTCTTGTTTACATAATTTGCATAATTTAAAAGATAATGTTGCCAAACTTTGGTAAATGTTAATGTTCAAAACAAAAATCTCCACTACATGTAACTTTTCTTCCTCTGGATCAGTACGTGGTTTATAATCCCAGCCAGTGGTTGTATCTGTTCCAGTGTCAACTGCCATGTGCTCTGCTTCAAGGGGGAACTAGTCTTTTGTGAATTTTTTGTACATAAGTATTTGTTACAAACATTTTAGCAAATGCTTTCGGTTTCTCTTACTTGCTTGTGCATATCTTGGCTGGCATCATAGAAATTAGTGCTAATGTTATTTCCTTAGGGGACTGGAAGGGGAGGGATGAGGTTGGTTGTTCTTTTTTTTTTTTTTTTTCTTCTTGTGTGGGGAAAAATGACTTATGTTGAATGTTTAGTTTTTCCTCTGCATGCTACATCATATGTTGTGGGAACTATAAGAACCTTCATACTATATGAATACAAAATAAAATATTTGAACCTTTGCTGGAGTGCTTCAGTACTTACCTAGACTTTTCCTGTTCAACTTAAAGCAGCTCTGTGCCCTGCTCTAAAGAAAAGAAAACCTTCTGCACATGGCTCTTTGATTGCAATTTTTTGAAAAACCTTACAGGGTGCAGTCTCCTGAGTATTTCCAGGCTTCACTGCAATCTTTCAAGATCATTCACGTTATTTTCTTCTTAAAGACATGTGTGGTTCTCTTTGCAGGTATGACCAAATTAAATAAAAACCTTATTTTAAATCCTGCTAAATTCAGAATGTATGTGGCAAGTGAAAGGTGGTTTAAGAAACAAACAAAAAACTCCCTAACCTGAGAAGGTAGGTGGAGAAGGAAAGGTCTGAGACCTGTGCTGCTGAGGTGTTTCTGCAGGCATGTCCCTTACAGAAGCTGTTTGCTCTTGCTCTCTGGGGTGCGCTGCCCTCTCCCTTTCTACTGTTTTTGGTCCATATCGGCATGCACCTGCTTTAGGATAAAGATCAGATTACTTGTGTGCCCTTGCCTCTCTCTGCCCCTTCTTATCTCTCAAGCTAGTTGAGATAAAGGCCATAAAGCAGCCCACGGACAGAATGTGCCAGGCAGGTGCACGGTGTTCCCTGGGGTGCCGAGAGCGACGCGCTCTGCCTGTGCAGCCCCGAGTGCTCCGAGCTGCATCTTTAGGGAACTTGGCCAGCATTCAACCTCTTGGCAGCTGTACAGTAATAATCCCATGTGAAGAAGTGCTGCATGGGGAGCTAGGACATTGAAAGAAATGTGTACTCAATTTGCTGATGTTTTTGATAATCTCATTTCAGTTTTGTTTTTGTTCACAAACCTGAACTGAATTATTTTGCAAGGCATGGTAACAAGTTCAGCTGGCAGAGGCAGGAGGAAAGGGCCCATGTTTAAGTCAAGTGGAGACTGTGATGGGTCTCGGTCATCTCCCCCTACTTCTGGAGGAGGGTGAGGAGACAACGCTTGGCAGTTGTCTGTGCTCTGGTACACTGGCAAGTACTAACCTGGTAGCTCTCGGCTTCACTAGGCTGCCCTTGCAAATAACTTCCAAGAAAGTAAAAAATCCTACAGTGTGCGCCTATGTAGTTTAAGTTCAAATACTTGGTGGTCTTACCATTTTCGTGTGGTATGTTGTTCCATAAGCAGCAGAGACTGGTTGGGCAGCCTGCCATTGAACTGTGCACTCCGGTTGACTCTTCCTTTTCCCCTGAAGACAGTGATCCACGCGTTGTGGTTATGACACTTGACCACGCCAACTCCTTGGCCTCAAAAGTGTTCTGAAGTCCCCAGAGCAGCATCTTCAATACTTTGATGGTTCAGAAAGTAATGAAGCATGGTTTTGTTTGAGGGTAAGTTTAAGTAAAATCAGGTACCTGTACTTCTGATACAGACACAACCAATTTAAAGTAATTTTTAATGACTATACAGAAACATGATGTGTTCAAACCACACATGCTGTCTGATGTGAAATTTGACTGCACAAACAGTCCCAGTTTTTTTCTGGGCTTCTGAATCAAGCAGAAGATTGAGTGCTGCTGTAGCTCCAGGCTGCTCGTGTGCACAGAAACCCTGACCCTCAGTCCTTGGTAGTGCAGGTGTGCTGCAGCTCAGAATCTTTCAGCTGCTCTGCTGGCCACTGCCCGAATATTGCCGTAAACTTTGGATGGAGGACTTCCTGCAGAAGAAAGCACAAATTCAGTCAGCAAACAAGGTAATGTCTCATGGAAAAGCATATTTTGCTCTTGTGTCTGTGCTAAAAGTGGAGAAATAAGCCCCTGGGTGAGAAGGATGGTCAAGGCTAACCAGCTTGTCCGCTACTGCAAGTGCAGAATTCAGCTGCTGCTGGTGGTGTGACAAGTCCCCTCTAGGCTTTGCAGACACTGCATTCAAAATAGCCCCTCGAGGGATGCTGCAGCCAAACCAAAAGCAGAAAATCTTCCTTCTCCACCACGGAGAGGGTTTTGGAGCCAGAACAATGTCCTGGGCTCTCCATCTCTTCCCCCAAACCCTTCTCTGAAGGGCAACAAAGCAACTCCCAGCAAGCTCCCCACTCCAAATGCAGGTGTGGACACACCAGGGAAGAAAATAAGACCCACAGAAAGCAGATCTATTTATATGTAATAATAAATTAGGTAACAGGACTTACCTAAAATTAGATTGCAAATTGCTGTTCGTGCCATTTTAATGTTCTGAAAAGATCCCAAAATATGAATTTTCCTGTAAAAAGCAAAGTAGCATTACTCAATGGGGAAAAAAGCCTCTGTGATTAGTTAATAGAGATGATTAGAGATGAACATGGAATTTCAGATCAGTGTCCTAGTTACTTTTCTATGCTTGTAAATCTAAAGAAGCCCCTGTACCTCAAAACCAGAAAACTACAACATAAAAGCTATGTTCTTCCAAATCCTTCTTAAAATAGATCTTATAGTTTCCAACTTTAATGCTGTAGCAGCTTCAGGAGGGCAAACATTGTTGCACTGGTTGGTGGATTCAGCTTTGATTATTCATAAAAAGGAATTCTTACACTGTGGGGAATTACTCAGTTCTAGGTGCCCTTGTGACAGTGTCATCGCTCATAACAAAAGGTCAAATACTCAAACAGAGTTTATTAAAAATAGCACTTAAATAATTTGATTTACTACTGCTCTACAAATGTTTCAGAAAGTGCAAGTCTTCCCAGAAGAGGACGGGCTGGTGTAGGGATTGCTCTGCCCAGGACTCGGGTGGGTACTCACGCGTCAGCCAGGACGATGCGTGTCCGCGTGACGTTCTCGATGGTGAATTTTGTCTTCCCGCCTTTCCCCGCTATCCTCCCTATGGCTCTCGACAGGTGATCTCCTTTCAAAGGCTTGACTGAAACAAGAACAATGAGCTCAGTGTAACAGCAGTGGTCTGTGATTGTTCCACGTACTGAAACAACTACTCCCCAGGAAAGCAGCTTTACTGTGGTGAACACAGACACACAGATGCTGCAGCTGAGGTGACCCGCAGTGAAAATCGCCTCTGGTGCTACGTCACCAGCTCTCTGGCGCCAGAGCAAAGTTCTCACACAACTGCTCTGGAAGGGTCTCTGTGCACTGTGCATGAGCAAAGACTGAGGAAAGAAACAGAGGCAAGGTGTGCAAGTGGATCAGATGTGGATGTTGCTCTAAAAGGGGCTCCAAGGAGCCACAGTAATATATGAAATAGATGTGTCTGCTGGCTCCTTCCCACCCCTCGCTGTCAGGGTGCTGGGAGGAACTAAGCCCATTCCAATTTAAAAATGTAACGTATGTATTCACCAATATGTTCTATGTCACCTTGGACTTTAAAACAATGGTTGCACTGTGACAAAATTCAAACCACTCTGACAAAGTGATGCTTTTAAGGATGAAGTTTGGGGGGGGAGTTTGTTGGGACATAGCTGCCTGCACCTGGACAATAACATGGCATGAAGGTTTTCCTCATCCCTGAGAATAAGGGATACAAGTGGAGCAGGAGGAAACAGAAGAATGTACTTGCAGATGACACACACAACTCCTTGAATACTGCAGTGGGAACTACTTACCATCTGTAACTTCAAATGATTCTATAAAAAGGTCATCTAATCTGATGAGAGCAAGAGCATCCTAAAATATTAAGAGATTTGTTATCAGTGTGAGTGTTGCAGTACCCCAACAGTTGAAAGCTGATGTTTTCTTTATATGTTGAACAGATTTCATTAGTAGTATTTCTCCATTGAATAAATTAAGACTTTTTTTCAATAGCAGTATGTATTTTTCTGTGTAGAGAGCTCTACCCCTGCTTAGACACCCCCACGCTCACCCCGGGCCTGCCAGACGAGTGACATCTGTACAGGTCTGCAGCACCAGGCAGTCCATATGAAGCTGCAAAAAGTGGGTGTGTTTTCTCTGAGGTTTGGACAGACAGGTCACTGGCTTGGGCTAAAGGAACAGAAACAGTCTGTACATGTGCAGAGCACCTCAGAGCCAGACTTGCTTCATGCGTGCCTCTCACATGCAGCTAAAAACCTCATCTCTTTTGTCATTTTAATTACATGCTATTTGATGGTTACTTTTTTTATCTTGCATTAGCTTAAGAAGCTAAACTTCCACTCCAGTCCCAATTTCAAACAAATTTATTTCTAGAAAACCACCTGAGAATTTTTGTCTCTTCCTGTAATGTGCAGAGAGGCCAAAGCCACTGCACAAGGCAGTCCAAGCAACCTCAGCATGGAGCTGTGGGAGACTCACCTCTACCTGGAAGCCGAGTATAAACGCTTTCACAAAGTCTGCTGCTTTCGTCAGAGCGCTCAGGTCCTTGGTCTCCTGACAGGTCTGCAAAACAAGGAGTTCTGTTTGCAAACAGAGACCACGTGAGCTGGATCAGGACACGGAAACGCTCCTGAACTGAGGTTTACTGGAAGGTGCCAGCAATACACTCTGCTTTTTTTTTTTTGATGTCCACCCTCAACACGGAGAAAGCATCAGCTGCCACAGGCTGTGCTTGGAGGGGAGGGAAAAGAGCAGCTGCTAGAAATCCTTACCACCACTGCTGGAGGAGAAACCTTTCATGGAAAACCTCAAACCAAACAATGCAAACTGCAACACAGAACAGTGGGAAAAAAAAAAAAAAAAGTGTGATGGCAGGTGACAGCTTGAGGAGGGAAAGTTATTCTAGTGACATATGGAACAAGAGGAAGATTAACAAGATATTTGGGACAGGAACAAGGCAACCCCACAAAGCAGCAAGTCGTGGAGTGTTCTTAAGGTTTATAGGCTTAAACCAGCTTATCCAAGTGTTCCTGAGGAGTAAGAACGAAACAGCAGCAACAACAAGCCTGACGACTGTGTCTTGGTAGCTGTACCCTACCCTGTTTCAGTGCCATCCCTTAAAGAATAATCACAAGCTGTTAAACTGCAGGCCCTTATCTTCTGCCACAAACATGAAGGTAGCAGAAGCTCTGGTGTCCTCATCAAAAGACACTTAACTCAAAACTGTCAGGTAAGTGTTCTGTAAACTGGAAAACACTGCATTCCAGAATCATACGTAGAGCGCAGACTAAGAGTTTTCCTTAATTAAGGAAAATACATCATTTTATCCTACCAAAATGGAAGAAAACCCCAGCCCAGCAGCTCATGGTGGCCCCTTCCAGAAGGGATAATGCATGTAAAATTCAAAGCGTTGAACTCCACTGATACAGGGTAAGAACAGTAATAGATAGAAATTAATAATTAGTTATACATATTAAGAATTTTAGAATATAGAGCACAGAACCATATAGCTCGAGAGGAAAAGAAACGGCTAACAGAGGGAAAGACTTGTTTTCTTTCACTAACAAAGACTTACTGACAAGCCAGAAGGGCATTCCAGCCTTATCTAAAGAAAGCAACCATAAAGAACAAGAATTAGGAAAGCAGACTGAATAACTAACAGGATGAACCTTGATATACTGACAGAACATCCTGATTCACTAACTGAGGCAGTCAAAATGAATGAATGAAGGCTAACATATGCAAAACCATTTACCCTTATCTAGAAGAAAGAACAAGAACTGACAGACTAAAAACAACATACAATATAAACTTATCGATAAAGAATGGCGAGTAAGGAAGAGGAGATTTACCAAGGACAAGAACTGATCACAATTGACTCAATTGGAACTATGGAAATAACTACTCCGAAGAAACTACCTTTTCCGGGATTAAGTAATGAATACGTATAGGCGTCATTTGAATATGCAGTGTTTAACTGTATAAATATGAAATAATTTGCCACTTCGGGTATGCACGTTTATGGTGGAGCGATCTCCCGTGCATCTGCGCGCAATAAACATACCTACTGTATAACTATCGAGTTATCGAGTCTATTTCCGTACGTCACCACGCTTCTAAGCGGTAGCCGACAGGTTTCATGTACATTCTCGGGGAAGTTTTCCGCAGTTATCGCTTTTCTAAGCACTACCGGGGACTCGGAACCCTTCCCGGAGCCGAACGGGCGCACCGGTGAGGAGCGGGGACGGCGGCGGGACGGGCTCTCTCTTACCTTGATCTCGACATTCCTCGTTTTCAAATTAAACCGGATTTGAAGCTGCAAGTGCTCCACGATAGGCGTGAAGATCTTCATCCAGTTCTCCTTTAACGGGGTATACCTGTTGGCCGGCACGGGAACCTTCCGCATCTCGCCCTTGCCAACCTAGCGGGGGAGAGAAGGGCGTGAGGCCGGGGCAGCCCCGGGAT